TTGCATGCAAGAACTTCAATCGTTGATAGGCATTCTGAGCTTTGCATGCAAGAACTCCAATCATTGATAGGCATTCTGAGCTTACATGCAAGAACTTCAATCATTGATAGGCATTCTGAGCTTTGCATGCAAGAACTTCAATCATTGATAGGCATTCTGAGCTTTGCATGCAAGAACTTCAATCATTGATAGGCATTCTGAGCTTTGCATGCAAGAACTTCAATCATTGATAGGCATTCTGAGCTTGCATGCAAGGTCTCCGCCCCATTCCTACTCTCATAAGTAAGAACCAGTCAAAATTCGTGTAGGATTCAGCGCTAGCTTATCATATAAATGCTTGTAGATCGACATCACTAACGCATTACATCTTTGGAATGTTCGTTGTCTTGCTTTATTTAACCTGCATTGTAATCAGTTAACACAGTCTAGACAATAATTACTTCAACTTTCAAACCAAGTTCAGTACGATATTCCTTACAATGAAGCTGGCTAAAAAAAACCTCAACAAACTCTTAAAAAATTCAGGGGTAATTTGAAAAACTCATTCGCTTGAGATCTAGAAACTACTTTGAAAAAAGATGAAAATCTCATGAAGCGTTAAAATGTATCAATACTCAGAAAATGTTCTATAAGACCCGAGACAAGTCAAAAATTATTTTTACTACTTCCTCTCCATATTAAACATAGCAACAACTGACGCAAAATGCAGTCTGTGGAGACTTTCGTCACAAGAAAAAAGGTAACCAAAAGAAAACAAATACTTAAACGAAGTAAGCAGTAGCAAAGGCGAGAAACAAAAAGAGATTTAAACATGCAATGGAAAAGATTACTTGTTTTGCGCTCCTCTTTAGACAAAAATTCATTAATACATCTATTACATTTAGTTGTATTGTAATGTTTTGGTGTTAAAGAAAACAAATGCTGACAAAAACAAACTAACATAAAAAAAGCCGAAAAAAATACGTTGTTGCTTTGCTTAAAACCACTCTCCTACGAAAGGTAATATAATTTTAAAATAATTGATTTTAATCTGTACTCTAAGCAAGACTTTCACTAAAATAGTGCAATGCAAATAACTCAATTGTTCCTTCTGTTTTTTTTTTTAATACCGTTTTGATAGTAGTTTTTTTAACTTGTGTATTTGAAAATAGTTGCGACAAAAATGCAGGGGATACATATTCTCTAGATATGACGTAAATTTTTTTTTCCACTAGAAGTACTAAATTTTACCGGATTAAAACCCTTGTTAAATTTGATGAAATGTACGACCTCTCTCAAAACGAAAAAAAGTTGAATTTCCGTCTCTTCTACATTCTTGACAGTTTTGTTTTCATGTTATACAGATACAAAAAGAACCAAAAAGGTAGAGAACAAAACAAAAACAACAAAACAAATAGAAAGAACAAGTTATTTGCATCGTACTACCTTTAATCTACCCAAACTATTTTTAGGAAGTTGTCGTCAACATCGTAATCCGAGGGATATAATGAAATAGTGACCTCCCCTTCTTCTCTACCTGCATCCACATTCAGTTATTGTGTGGATCGTTTTTGCTTCGTGATCGCCAGTGTGAACATATTCTGTGGTGTAGTTAGTAGCGATACAGGATCTCTCGCGATAAACTATGCAGTGATCGTCACAATACTTGTTCCTGTATTGATATAAAACGATAAATGAATAAGTAGGCAGGTCAATGGTGACGTCATCTATACGTCTCTCTTCCAATAGACCAAAAGTATGAGCCAATCAAAATGCTAGTATCATTCTGCCTATCATAGCATTATTAATTCTTCTTTCAAATGGTTTTCGACCGCTGCCACAGACTCCGTCAACGAACTTCATAAGATTGCCTCAATATATAAATTGCATGGAATGCAACCACTTACCCGAAGAAACAGCGAATACAGTCCCTCGGGCAACCAGTACCGACGCACATTCCAACGTCTTTTTCCTGAAAAAAAAAAAAAGATCTTAACATTGGAAGAAGGTAAATATCTGTGGATCTTCACACGTCAATGTATTTACATATGCGCTTTAAAATTTTGAATGCTTTATTTCGTTTGCGCGTGTTTACATAAATCAAGAGAATCTTGATTCTCTTGCATAAATCTTTCCTTCTCTTTTAAGGGTAGTAAATATTTTTCAGTACAGCTTCCTAACCCTCAATCTCTTAAGTGTTACCTATTGTCATCATTTTTTCCTTATGATATATCAATACGATATGAGGAAGTTACATGTTCATCCATCCGTGTCTTTATTTCGTCCTTCTCTTATTCAATATCATTTCATTTAAGCTTAGCTCTATTTATTTCGTAATTTTTTTAAGATGATTGCATGGTTTATCATCCGCTCGTCGAGTGACCACGAGTGACCACAGATAAATACGAATGACCACGAGTAACTACTCGTGGTCAAGAATAAGAAGGAATCAGTATATTAGGCTGAGATCATGATAACATCGTCATTACATCACTTTATATAACAATCGTGATTTGAAAAAAAAAAAAAAAAAAACATTTCCGGAGAATGAAATATGTAAATAAAGTATAATTTCCTTATTTTTCAAAAGGTAGAAGGAAAGGGTTGTGAAATCGTCCCAAAATTCAACCTGCCCTTTGGAAAAGATGAAAATGATAGATTGTATGCATATTTCAGCCTCCGGAAATGGTTTTATTCACACTTTAATCATGATCATTTGATAAAGTAATATATAATAATAGATAACGACAACGTTATTTTGATGCCAGACAAACAATTTGATGACTTCTTACCCGTGGTCTCTTGTAGTCATAAGAGTGGTCGCTCATGTGTACATTTTAGACACGACCGTCGTTTCTAAATTACATTTGGTACGGTTCTAAACACGCTTTGGAATCAACGGGACGTTATGTATTTCTCTTACAATGATTGCAATCGTCATCAGTGATCTTTAAATTTTGATCACTATTATCGCTCACTTTATTGTGACAGTCTTTGTTTATTCTCTTTATTACATACCTCTTGGATCCACGCTTTACCCGTCTTCCTCTTGAAAACTTCACGAAACGCAACTCGGTGGCAAATTGGGTTCACGCAACCACACTTCTTAATAACACGAACAGTTAGTTCCCCTTCTCCTATTTAGAAACAGGTAATCAATTCAAGTGTATCTACATGACCTTAAGCCATAAGAGCTGTTCAAACTTTATATCTAGATAAATATCCTACCATTTGGCCCTTTTATGCCAATCATTACGCTGTCAATGGCTTTGCAGGTATGTCCACTGTTTCCACAAGAGCCAAGGCAGACACCTGTATCATGACGACGACTGTATGATGTTCCGTTAAAGAAGGATTTGAACAAAGCTTGGCGACTGCAGCCGCCAGAGGTATGTTGATAGCCACACTTGGAAATGGCGGTCTTGTACTTTGAGTCACCAAAGAGGGGATAACTTCTGCTGGTCAGCTCAGTTGGGTTACAGGAAGAAGAACCATAGGACATCTTCTATGATCAAATCAGATTTTTTTAAGGTTTTTTGACTAAGTATAACTCACTTTTAGTGCTAAGAAAGCCTTTTGAGCCACTCTGTAACATGAGGACTGTACTGAATTCTTTAATGAAAAAGATGTTTTTCAGCATTTGAAATATGCTGAAAGAGGTCGGATACTTTTCGTCTCCAAAAACCTTTTGAAATTCGTTCCTCAAATTCATCAATAAATCATGAGGGCAACAACCAATAAATGAGGCATATCTGCGTCACATACACGAACTTTGGTACCCAATAAACACTCAGATAAAAATCTTAAGGGTTTCGATCTTCGTTGAAACATGGTCTTGATCTCAGATCGCACATTTGCATTTTAATGAGCATTTTTCAGTAATTAATACATCGAAAATGCAACGGAAAACCTTAAGCCAAAAGAAACGTCAAAAAGTATTCTGATGACTCATTCGACATTGAGCCGACCGGTGAATTTGATCAAGAAATCTACTCCGTGATATGAAATACAGGGTCTGAATTAACATGACTAAATTCCTCCCACTCATCGTGTTGCCCAGAAACTTTCCGCGAATAAGATTTGGGCTCTTCTTTAATGTTTGAGTGGGATGGCTCAAAGCGGGCTCAAAATAATATGAAAATTCGAATTCGGATTAGCTAAGGTGAAGTATGGTTTCGGAACTATGTTAGATTCCGTATCCATGCAGTTAATGGCATAGCTGACATGGCACGTATGGCCTGCGAGTAGTCTCATATTTAAAGCATGGGCGGCAGGTCCATGGGATTCGATTCATCGAGGGTTCTGCAATTGGCCAGACCATTCAATAATTTCTCGCACGGTCGCCTCACAGGCCGTGTCGAATTTCGCGGGCCTTGCTGCTCGAAGCGCAGTCCTCATGATAATAAAAGCCTACTCGTGGGCTACGCGCTGTGCTTTCGCCTCTCCCAGGGCCTGAGAGCATGCAGCTTCTCTTTAGCACTGTGACATGAGCGGTGAAGCCCACGGGTTTAGAAGCGGCGTGCGAGCGTGAGAGGTTTGCGAGAGTTCCACCAGGCTTCCGGTAGTCTCCCTCGAAGCCGTTTTTTTTGGATGTCACGCAACGCTCCCCCAAAAGAACGGCTGCTGATAACCAAACTACATTCCTTTCTCATTGTCCTTGCGGTTTGGTCGCGGTCTATTGAACAGACCAATCACATACCAGAAAATCTGAATGACGTAAGGTTTCACGCGAAAATGTGGATGTTGGGAGAAACACTGAAGAAATTTGTCGATGAGAGCTCGAAATGTTTCACATGTTCATCCTTGTGCCCTGGTAAAGATAGAGTATATATTTTTGGGAAAACTTCTCACAATTTCGTTGAAATTATAGAATCTACGCTTAACATAGACGTCAACTGCTACGCCAACGACACGAACGCTAGATTGTTTGAGCGGTTGTTAAAGTTTCAGCGAGCAACTGAGAAAGTAGAAGAAGCTAAAAACTGAACTGAAACTCTTTATTCGCACTATTTCAAGAGGTTACTACAGATTATAAAAGTCAGAATATATAAGAAACAGTAAATTACATCAATAATCAAAAGGAAATACAAGACGCCTTTCAATCTAGGCCAAGGGCTAAACGCTTGCTTCGACCTACAGATGGAGATCAGGAGGAAAAAAGCGCGTGCTTGCCGTCAACAAACCGGGCGAAGCTTCGAGAACACTGCAATTTAGGTCGGCCAACGTCTCCTACACTACTTGTACTTCTTCATTTGCCAGTCCGCTGCTAGCTGGAGCGAACCCGATTAGTTATGTTCGTGGCTTCTTATCACCGGTACAGGAAATCGGCCCGAATTATCGAGTGTTTCCGCACGTTGGTACAACGCAACAACAATAACAATAATATGACCACTTTCATCGGTAACATGGTCAAACACGAGCGGGAGTGCTTGATATATTAACGATTTCCCGGATCCTGTAGGCAACTTAACAAAAACATCTTCTTTCTCGACTAAAACTTTTTTAATTGCAAGCTTCTGGTGAGCTTTAAGCTCGAAAATTTTGAACTTTGACGACGCTTTGCGAAAAGCTCCTTCAAGCACCGCCATTTGTCTTGTGTTTTCCACATGAGGATCGCGATAGAAAACGATATCTGATTGGAC